ATATATGTCAAATGTGCTGATAAGACTGTATCTTTTCAATCAGTCCGGTGCGTGAGAGGGTTGGAATAGGTTGCTGACTGGGATGGGGGTTGCAGTTTGTCAGGTTAGTAAATAAATTTCCTGGAAGGGGATCCAGAAATGACATAAACGACTGATGATCAGTTTTAGTTATGTTCGTTTGAAGGATTAATATTGCTGCTGTAATGCCATGAGATCATGGCTCAGATCTTTTAGTAGCAATGACAGCTAAAATATTACCATTTCCAATCATTATTTCACTGAAACTGCCAGCAATGTCTGCAGCCTATTCATGCACATTTAAACATGGAAATCCAGATGTCACTGTTAGTGATTCTACTGCTTACATCTTCAGAGGCTGCACTGTTGAGGAACCCCAGAAAGCAATCAATGAGAAATCTAAAATTTGATGAAAACGTCTACTTTCACAGTTAATTCAGTCAACCTTGCTGTAAAATATACTGAAAAGGTTACAGCTTGTTACACTGGATTATTAACAAAGGATTAACTTCATAATTACTATTAGATACACTAGCCCTGAAGAACTAATTTTATAATTGTGAAATGTCATTTTTTTCAATACAAGCAGTTCTCCTATAACATGTGTTCTTGTGCAACCTTGTGCTATAGAAAATTGCGTTATAGGGAAATCGCTATACTGTACAGTAGAAAGTTTGAGTTATCCAAACAGCATCCACTATTCATCAATCGTGTTACAGCCAATTCGCTTAACAAAACACACGTTATAGCAGAAATACCAGTACAGTAAAAGCTTCCAATACAAAGGTTGGCTGATATTCATATTTTAGTTTCCATTCAAACCTGACCACCAATTATAAAATACAAATTAAAATAGAAAATGAAAACACTTCTAACTTCTTGGTTTACATGAGAATAACCCAGTGTAATTGTCTGGTTATCTTGTTAGCTGACATTAATGTTGCTGACACCTGAAGATATCCTTCATTTGGAACTCGGTGCAAACTGCTGTCATGAAAAGGAGCAAATAATGCCATAGAAGAATGTTACATCTTTGTGGGCAGCTTATTTAAGATCAGCATTGGGCAGTCTTTTCCCCCTGCTGACTGCAAACTCCCGTACTTTTGTGCCACCAGAACAGACAAATTTCTTTTCAGTTTAAAGTCTTATTTTTTAAGAGGTGCTGAGAGATTGCAGTACTTTGCAAATAAATAACTGAAGTGATACCCTAGCTTATGTGGCAAAGGCCCTGGAGTGAAGCTTGATTCTACAATCTGATTTAGGTGCAACTTTGCCATCAATTACTGGCTTCAAACTTTACCACTTTTTTTTCGTACTACCCCACAACAAAACAAAGGAAAATACTCCACATCTCTAATAGTTTTCTTATTCCTATGCAAACAGCTTGAAGTGGGGGTCACACAGATCAAATGTCGTACAACATTCCACAGTAATAGTAGTGTCTATTCTAATTACCTTGACACAGATTCAGATTATTAAGGATGGTTCAAAGTCGACACTTGAATGCTTCATACTCGTTATATGTGATTAATTGGTAATCCAGAATTACATTCTCATTTCTACACTTCAGTAAATATAAAATAATGACACAGACAACACGTTTTACTTCCTTGATTACTATTTATTATGGATTGGCTAAAATGGTGTGTAATATGGGTAAAAATACCAAACTTATGCAGGAAAACTGTCAATATGTTCAGCTCAACCTATCAGAATGGTTGAACCATGTCAAAAGAAATCAAGTTTAGTCAATAACCATCAGTTTCCCAGCCCACCTGATGGCAAAGGGGAGGCAGTACGCAACTATATTCTGGTGGGAGAGCAGGGGTAGCTCACAAAGGAGGTCAGGCAACGGTTTGGATGTAGACTGGAGGAAAGCTGAGGATGGTCTGGAGGTCCAGAATGTATTGTTTAGGTTGCAGTCGACTTCATCAGCGTAACAATAACAAAGTACTATTTGCAACTGCTGGAGAAACCTTCATATGCTGCCTTGAGCTGTGTCTCCTAAATTTAAGTCAAAAGTCAATGGAGGAGAAATGCTGAGACATTTTGCTATGAACTGCAATAGATGTATTTGAAGTAAATGTACAGGTGAAGTGCACTTGCCAAACAGTGAGGTGTTTTCAATGAAAAGTGCTGCATGTTACAAAAACATTGTTGCTGTCATCACACCTGTGGAGAGTCAGCAATTTCTATTTATGTTTTTCCTTTGAAGAAGCTATTAAAACTCTGGGTGGAGCTTCAATTGTAGCCATGGTTTCTCTTGGATCAGGCCAAACTTTCATGCATCAGCACAGCATATAATATTTATACTTTTCACCCATTCCCTAAAAACAGTGATTCATGCTCAGTACAACAGCCTTCAATTATTTGTATCATTAACTTTTCTTCATGAAAAGTCTCGCTAATAAATGTGAGCTGACTTTTCAAGCACAAGACATCACAGCTCAACCCAACCTTACCCTCACCTGAAGTTTAAACATATACCAGCCAGAGAAGCAAAGTGGATTTGCCAATTCTCTCTCATTCTCCCCATTCCCTGGATTGAGGTGCTGAACCAAAATGTAGCACTCTTCAGAAATCATCCTTGTGAGATCTGGCAAGTCTTTGTGAAGTCACATATTATACAGTAAAATAGCAGATGGTTCATTTACCCTGTCGGCAAAAATGAGAAGTACCTTTTTCTCCTCCCCAAAATTACTACATAGAAATAGTTTCCCTGATTGTGTAGTTAAAACAGTTTCCTTAACAATGCTAATTGTATTAGAATTACAGTTATAATATATAAATTGTTAGTTTTTCCTCACGTGGTAGCATTCTTTTGCCGTGCTAAAGCTACCCTATTAAATGCAAGCTGATTTAGCTCATTACAGCAATTCCTCTCGCAACCAGCATGCTAATAGTTCTGAGGAAGAGTCACCGGACCCTAAACGTTAATTCTGACTTCTCTTCACAGATACTGTCAGACCTGCTGAGCATTTCCATCAACTTCTATTTTTGTTGCTAATAGCACTATACATTGCATGCCAGTCAGCCCACTGTTCTGAGCAAGGTGGAGCTTGCACACTGGAGCAACAAAGAAAAAGCTTTTTTTTAAGTACTCACAAGAGAGATCAAGCTACCTTGATACTTTTTTCTGATTTTCAAAAATTATATGCTAATTTAAAAGAATGACAATCCTGGACTGACACACAGGTAAGAGTCCAGACTCCCTCAGCCAGGCACCATGATCCTTTTGTAGCTTTGAAAAAAATTGTAACATCATATTTGCTATGTAGGCCTTTTCTGGGGTATCATTGCATAGTTACATCTGCAGCTGGAATCAGTGGCTCAAAACTGGGCAAATTGCTCAATGAGAGTGCAGGATGGAGCAAATTGGGTTGCTGCTTGCAGTGAGCAAGCTGTTCCCACCACTTCCCATTTCCATGGAATACATTCCACCCAATAACCATGCCAGAGTTCCTGCTAAAATACCTGTGCTATCAAAATTAGACTTATTACAATATTTCAGACTCTGGTCTTTGACAGATTACGAAGATTATCTCTCTCCAGGATTGATTCCTGTACACTAGTCCTACAATCTTCATTTTCCACCCTTTAGTCCTGGTTACTTTCCTCTTAAAGCCACAGACTCAGAGTAGAAGACTCAATGTATCTTGTCTAAATGATCGGCTTAATGGAACTGTATGCATTTGTTGCTTTGCAAACAGCATTTACCAAGGGCATATCACATGGCTGCAACTGATTTTCTTCAAATGTCTACCTGTACAGCACTGTGATTAGGTGTTATTTAATCCCCTACACATGTACATGACTTCTGAATTTAATTTTATGATTCTTCAAAAAGCATTGAATTATCAATCCCATTTATACAACTATTTATTTCAACATCACAAATTTAAGTGTAGACAGCACTTCACTCTGCATCCAACCATTCCACATTAGCGCTGCCAGGACAGCATGCTGACATTCGATATAGTCAGTTCTGAAGGGTTACTGGACCCAAAATGTTAACTCGGTTTTCTCTCCACAGGTGCTGCCAAACCTGTTGAGTTTTTCCAGCAATTTCTGATTTCCAGCACTTGCAGTTTTTTTTTGCTCAACATAGTCTACAGTACTCAAAACATTCATGGTTAAAACAGCCATTAGTTCAATTTAGTCAAAACAGATAATATTAGGTATTTGCATTAATTTTAAAGTTACTACTGAAAGCACATTAACTGCTCTGCTTATTATGGACTAGAGCTTGCTCTTACTTGCCATCTTGCACCTTAAGGTGTATGGAATGCAAGCGTGAAGACCTTATTCGATACAAAAAAGTGGCTTTAAATTAAGAGGCTATTGTACAAGTAATCTAGAGCGCATCCATTGATATTGCAAAGAATAAAAATGATCTCCCAGACCTAAAAAATGAACACAAACAGCAGATGAGATCAGAATCTTGGTTCAGCTGCTGTAAAAACCTACCAATAGAAGAGAAATAGAAATAGAGAAATAGAATGAATAAACTGAAATCTCAGCTGAACAAATTCAGAAGATGCAAGATGAGCAGAATAGAGGATGCTACTCAGCTGCTGCCAATGGATAACATAGAAAACAAAACAAACACTGTTTAAATGGAAGTCCTCTACCCCCATTGTACTAGCCCCACATTCAGCAGGCAAATTACACGTGCACAATAATGGTGCAAACTATTCCTAAGCTCACCAGAAAGTTCACCAGAAAATGCCATTTTCACTTCCCAGAATTTAGGCTTCCATTCAAAATATTTAAGACATTGCAGGAATAAATAAGGTTTAATTTCAACTATTTCTCCTGCTTTAGAGGCTGTTGTTAACTTTAGATTTATCGTCAATGCATTCCCCGAGGGGCACCAAAGTGATCACATAAGCAGCGACATCTGACTGACAAATTCAGGTTTATACATTTTTCACATTGAACTATGATCAAAGTAAAACAGCATTAAAAAATAAGCCACTTTCGACGAAGAACTGAAGAGTTTAATGGACATTGAGAACAGATTGTTCTCTTACATGTCAATATTAGTTGTTTCAATATTGGATAGTCAAGCCACACATTTTCAGAACATTAGAATGTACAATATATGCTTGCTAAGTCCTGGAAGATAAGAGAAAACACCAGTTGTACTTAATTGCCCAGTACTCCCTGTGAGTTTTGTTCGCAATTCTTTATGAATCCACTTGGCTAGGTATAAACATATGCGGCACAGTGCACATGGACCTGATACCTTTCTCAACCACTATTCGTTTTAAACTATGTTTATGTAACCTTTCCAATCCTGTCACCTTTACTAACTCTGTCACAAGCGCTGCTTGTCTACTCTAAAGACTCCTGGGAAGTTTTTTACAAAATAATGCTATATAAATGCAATTTGTTTCTAATAGAAATTCAAGGTAAAGATTCAATTTGGAAAAACAAACCTCATTATAAAAAGAAACTATTGGGGTTCAAAGGAATTTTAAACCACTTACTGTTCACTTAACTGTCTATCTGAAGCAATTTTGATTGCATCACTAAATACACAGCGCTAAGAATTATTTGATTAGAGGTTTCTATCAGCTTGACAGCAGTTGACTACAAACTGTGCAAATGGCACAGAGTTAAATGCACTGTTTTCGTTCACAGTAATCTCCTATAGCTGTAACCTTAGGAAGAAACTCAACAGCTTCAAAATAAAACACAGTGCTGCATAACTAGACTCTTGGGAATTATGATGAACACTGAGCCAACAAGTCTCAACCTGCTCCAGTTCAGCAGCATTGTAAGAGGACAACACCACAGCCAGTCCCAAGAAACCCAGTGTGAAGCAGCTTCATTAATTGAGACATGTAACAGTTCTCAAAAACAGTGCACACACACGGGAAAATTGTGACTGTAATTCTTAAAGATTTTGTAATTAATAGAAAATCTCTGTTACTCAGCTATCGTAATACTGAAAAGAGGTGTGTGTCTTAGCCAATATTTATCTCACCTAGCATTACAAAGAGAGATTATTTGGTCATGATGACACTGGTGTTTGAGAGTTTCCTGTATACAAACTGGACTGCTAAATTTGTTAGATTGTAACGGTGAACATTTATAATAAGTATTCAATTTGGTGCAAAGCACTTTAGAATGTCACAAGGTTGCAAAAGGTGCTTTACAAATGTAAATCTTTTTCTTTTGCTCTTATCCAGTGATTCGAAAGTTAGGTTCAACCTTATACTGAAGAATCTCAATTATTTATGGCCTATTACTGTAGCTTTTCTACTTGCCCTAAATTCATATTTTTCTACCATCTGCTTTCATTGTGCATAGCTTCCATATACTGTTTGAAGATTTAACTGACCAGTGGCCAGTGTACTGGCTCAGTGCTGTTTTTATAAGTTATCCCTGAGTTGGAAAGTCATGTTGAGGTTGTACAGGACATTGGTGAGGCCTCTACTGGAATACTGTATCCAGTTCTGGTCGCCCAGTTATAGGAAGGATATTATTAAGCTAGAGAGGGTTCAGAAGAGATTTACCAGGATGTTGCCAGATTTGTAAAGTTTGAGTTATTAAAAAAAGGGGGTGGATAGGCTGGAACTTATTTCATTGGAGCGTAGGAGCTTGAGAGTTGACCTGATAGAAGTTTATAAATTAATAAGGGGTATAGACAGAGATAATGGTGGTTGTGTTTTCCCTAGGATGAGGGAATGCAAGACTAGGGGGCACATTTTTAAGATGGGAGGAGAGAGATTTAAAAAAGACATGAAGGCAATTTTTTTTTTTTTTTTTTACACGGAGGGTGGTTCATGTGTGGAACGAACTTCTTGAGGAAATGGTGGATGTGGGTACAATTACACGTTTAAAATATATTTGTTTGAATACATGAATTGGAAAGGTTTGGAGGGATATGAGCCAGGAGCATGCAGGTAGGACAAATTTAGTTTGGAATTACATTCGGCATGACTGGTTGGTCCGAAGGATCTGTATCCATGCTGTGCGACTCTATGGTTGGCAAAAGAGTACTCCACCTAAGCAACCAAGGGGATTGGAGCCAAATCCAATCATACATAAATGTCTGCTTTTCAGCAGACGTGACAGGATGACTCAGCGAATAAGCCTCGGGTTCAACTTCTACCAATAACACCAACTGGAACAAAGTTTACTTTTCTGAAACTCATGCATGTAATTAGTAAAGCATGGCATGCCAAGGGTTAATGAATATTTTCTCACTCAGCACTTCACAGAAGGGCAAGAACTCAAAAGAAGTGTATTAAAATCACTCTAGTACATGTTTGAACAAAGAGAGCAAAGAAAGCTCATTGTAACAATGCTCCCTGGGCTTTCAATTCAGCTCATATTGCAAAAAAAATTATAAACTTCCAAATTAAAAACAATTATTAACTGAAGCACATCAGAATGTTTCAAATTATCTGTCTCTTGCTAACTATTTGTTTTTAAAATTTTCATTGCAAAGGAATGCTTTTCCAACGCTCTTATCATCACAGTCATCTGAAAAAGTACATTTGTCCCAAAACTCAAGTTTCAATCTTTTAAAAACAAAAGGAACAAAAAGATCTTCATGTGCTTAGCTTCCTAATCATCTTTCCCATGTTTTCAAACCCAGGGAATGAATGATGACATCTTTATCCACAGTTTCCTGCTGTATCAGTCAAAAGCAATGATTAGCTGGGGGAGAAGAAAGGAAAAAGAACATTCTAAAATCACAAACATCACAATTTGGTGCCATAGTTTTAGAAACACTACATTCAGTGTGCAGATCAATCCAGCCAAGTGGTCATACAAAATCATCTGAAAAATGAGGTACAACAACCCAAGATTTAAGATTGCATGCAGTACAGCTCCTAAGCAAATCAAGTAAGATGCATAATACAAGACAATATAGCTTAAAATCAATAGAAATGTGTGGATTGTTGAGTTTACTACAGTCTCTTACTGTCATTGGATTTTTGTAGCTACGTGGCCTGGAAAATAGGATCCGTTTCATAATGAAAAGTGCCCAAGGGTTATAAGAGCTTTCATAGGGACATAACAAGGAGAGTAGCTAAAGTAAACTTTACTCGCATAGAGACAGGCGATATTATTAGAGATATAAGGAAATGGCAGACATTGAACAAGTATTTTGTGTCTGTCTTCACAGTAGTGGACACAAATCACACATCAGAAATAGAACACAAGCAAGGAGCCAATAAGGATGAGATAAATCACATAATTTATATCAGGGGAGAAAATGTTTTGGAGAAACTTAAACTCCCTACGTCCTGGGGTCTTAAAAAGGTAGCTGCAGAGATTGTGGATAAGTTGTTTACAATTTATCAAAATTTTCTAGAAAGGGCGTACTTGATAAAACACAGCCTAGTTAACCTGACAACAGCAGGAATTCATTATCAAGGAGGTCTTAACAATGTACTTAATAAAATCACAAAATAGTCAGGCAGTCTAAAGATTTTGCAAAATGGAAACTGATTTTGATAAACTTGCTAGTGTTTTTGAGAATGTAATAAGATGGGCAGATAAAGAAATGGTTCCAGGAGTTATCGTGCATTTGGATTTCCAACAAACATCTGATAAGTTGCCACCCAAAACGTTACTGTGCAAGATAAGGGCTCATGGAGTTCAGGGTAATATATCAGCAGGGATGGGGGTAAGTTACCAGAGAGAGCACAGAGTTAGAATAAACCAGGCTTCTCAAAGAATGCAGGCTGTGACTGATGGGAGCACGCAGGGATGAGTAATGGGACATTGTCCATAATTTATTAACATTGCAGATGGCCAAACAGACCAAGAATTTCCTTGATGAGCAGAACACAAACAGGCTGCAATGACATATCAACAGCTTAAATGAATGGGCAACAAGGTAGATTATAATGCAGGTGAAGTGTAAAGTTGTTTATTGATAGTAACAGAAAAGTTTTTTTTAAATATCAAGTGTGAAACTTTTAAACATTGATACTAGGAGAAATTTAGGTGCACTAGTATAATTAATACCGAAAATTAACCACAGCTGGAGTAACATATACAGCTTTTTCTTTATATCTATCTAAGATACCACGTAGATTTAGATTTACCTTGAGAGATAATACGGTGAAGGCTCAACTAGATTGATGCTGGTAATGAACTACGATGAAAGGCTGAGTACGTTGAGCCAATATCTTCTCAGGTTTCTGGCATCAACCCTCTTCCCAAAAAAAACAACCTTTGATCGCACCATCACCGCAATCTATTGCTCCACTTCCACCTTCTTTTCCTTCCCAATCTTTTTGACCATGTTGTTGCTTCCCAAGTCCACGTCGATTTTCACAGAACTCCATGACAGAATTTCTCAAGTCAGGATTCTGCCCTACCACATTAGTCAAATGGTTTTTATCAACTGCATAACTTCGACAATATTAAGATATCCCTCCTCATTTTTCGCAATTTGTCCGCAGTCAATGACCACGTCACCGTTAACAAATCATTCTTCTCTGCCATCCTCTAGCTGGTCGGGTCTGTTCTCACCTCATTTATCATACATAGCCAGCGTACCACTTGACAAGACTTTTCTTCCCACTATTACAACATTACCACTGGTGTTTCCGAAGGATCTACCCAAAGCCCTCTCCAGGATTTAATACACCCAGGACTGGCAGGTGAAAGCAACCTCAAACTATCACATTCGCCAGCGAGAAATCATAGGCAGGAATAGAAAATTCAGGAAAATCTGTCCCCATAAAATACTACTTCACATTACAGCACTTCCATCTTCTGGGACTGAACAAATACAGGCTCAGGCATCTTGATGAGAGCTAGAAACCACATAGTTTGATTGGAGGAGTAATAAGAGTGGGAGAGGTGGAATCTTTGAGAGGTTGCTCCTCCTTTCACCACTCCTCAGATACCAAAGCAATTCAAGTCCAAATACAGCAAGACATGGACATTATCCAGGCTTCAGCTGACTACTGAAGAGTTTAATGCAATGGCCATCTCCAACAAAAGAGAATCTAACCATTGCTTCTTGACATTTAATGGCCTTACCATCTCTGAATCCCAACCTATCTACATTCTGGGTTTACCAGCAATCAGAAACTGAATTGGACCAGCCATGTAGCTGCAGTAATTACAAGAGCAGGTCAGAAACTAGGAATTCTGTGGCAAGACTTCCCAAAGTCTGTCACGAACTACAAGGCACAAATCAGAAGTGCAAAGGAATACTCTCCATTTGCTTGGATGAATGCTGCTCCAAAAACACTCAAGGAGCTTGACACCATCCAGGATAAAGCAGCCTGCTTGACTGGCAGCATATTTGTAAACATTTACATCGCCCACTATCAATGCAGTGGCAGTAGTCGATACCATCTACAAAACGCATGGCAGAAATTCACCAAGGCCCCTCAGACAGCACCTTCCAAACCATTACCATCTAGTGGGACAAGGACAGCAAATGTATGGGAAGATCACCTTGCAAGTTCCCCTCCAAGCTGCTCATCATCCTGACTTGGAACTATATCCTTCAGCTTTGCTGGAACTCCCTAACAGCATTGCAGACACATCTACACCAGATGGACTGCAGCAGCTCGAAAAGGCAGCTTACCATCACCTTCTCAAGGGCAGTCAGGGATGGCAATGTACATATATTCTAAATGAACTTTTCAAAATTTTATCCCTCAACTGCTTGGTTCGTAATCACATCCCATCCTTAATCTATATTAACACTCAAATAAATCCAATCGTTGACTTCACAAATATTTTGAAGTTTAGGGCCAAGGTTTTAATCCACAAAGGCTAAACCATATGAACACGGAATGTCGGATTTCAAAACACTACTTTCTGACTGATCCTCCTATTCACCAATTAAATGCAAAAACGCCACAGTAATGCCTCACGTAACCTCAGATATATCCCAATAGTAGTTGCGATTATAAATAATCTTCACATTGTTTAACAATAATTCAAATTAGAAGCAGAATGTAAAGAATCTAGGCTTCAAAATTAAATGCAACTGAAGGTACAATGTTGTTGAAAGCTCAGAGTTTAACTCAATTGTTGAGGAAATTACAGGGTGTCACTTTTGAAACACTTGAGTGGAATAACCTTACGAGCAGAATGTTTGTTGCAGTGTTACTGATTCACAGACAGCTTGAGGAAACACAGACAGTAGATTGCAATGAGACTTGTGAATTTGGGAGCTAATGACAGAGAGTACAAGGTGTTTGTTTGATCATCCTTTCTATGGAGTCATAGAGTCTGCAAAACATTCCAAGAGTATGGGCTGACCTTAAGCTCTGCTAAATCCATACACTCACTACAACTCAATTATTCAACTGACCCAATAGTTCTACTATTAATTGTGATCCAACAGAAATATACAAACACATCCTGCTACAAGGTGTTTTGATTGTAGCATCTTCTGTGCTTGGTGTATGAACTGATTTTATTTTGTACAAGTTTCACAGCATTCCTGATGAAGTATAATAGATCATCTGCTCCCAAGCCACTACCTGACAATCTCCAACCACTAGCAGCACCTTGGTACCATAATTTATCCTCCAATCTGGAGCTCCAATGTATTGCGCCACAGCCTAATTCCTCTCAAGATTTTGATGTGAGCTGCAGCATCCCAGCCAAATTAATCTTAAGAGTTTCCCTATAGTATGGAGGAGGATAGACCAGATCACATTGAGATGCCTATATGATTGCTGTCATAACTTATTACACAGCAGGAGTGGGAGAAGCTAGGATTCAGGCAATTTGCCTGCCCATGTACGGACACTGAGTGTACAAATAGGGAATTAAATAAGAAACTTGTAACATAGGGTGGCACGGTGGCTCAGTGGTTAGCACTGCTGCCTCAAAGCACCAGGGACACAGATTCGATTCCACCCTCAGGCAACTGTCTGTGTGGAGTTTGCATGTTCTCCTCATGTCTGCATGGGTTTCCTCCGGGTGCTCCGGTTTTCCTCCCACAGTCCAAAGATGTGCAGGCTAGGTGGATCGGCCACGTTAAATTGCCCGTAGTGTTCAGGGATGTGTAGATTAGGTGGGTTATAGGGGGATAGGTCTGGGTGGGATGCTCTGAGGGCCGGTTTGGACTTGTTGGGCCAAAGGACCTTTTTCCACGCTGTAATGATTCTATGACAGATAATGCTAAGGTTGACAAAGGGAGATTTACAGCAGCTTAGACTGCCATCTAGTGGAAGAAAAATGCATAAACAAACTCACTGCAAAGCTCCTGCCTTGTAAGGGCTATGAGACATTCAGCTTTCTGAGCTCATGCACTCCTGTGAATAAAGGAAATCATTGTTTCCTTGCCACTTAGATGTATCTTGACTGAATACAAGGATGGTCTGGACTCCACCATCCTATGCTGTGCAGTTGGTCCATGAAGTTCTGCCTGACATGGTTTCTTAATATTATTTCCATGTAAGTTTTTGCATTTTGCTTAAATCTTATATTACTCTAACTGGCGTTCTAAATTTTCTCTGTGCTGCTTAACAAAATGATAAGTTTCAAAGGGTCCTTTCTCAGCTGCTTCCATCCGATACAAAGGAGCTGCAGTTTCTCCGGTTTTTTCTTCCAAGGTGCATTTCCACACTATCTCTGTACTTTCCCTCAGCCACTATTTGAATGCTCCACCTGGATTCTATCACTGGATCTTCAAGGCACAATTTAACCAGAGCACTGTATACTTAAAGGATGACATCCCCTCATATGCACTTGACAGATCACGTAATACCAATTGTTTTGCTCATTGGTGCCTCAGATGGCTTTCATTCATTCCCAGGCTTCTTGCCATTCTGCTCTGTAACCAGATGCTGTGTTCCCTTGAAAAGTCTCAAGAAATTTACACAAACCTTATGAGACCATTATGGGAAATTTGTGAAATACCGTTTGTAAGAGATGGTGATTATTGTTTAAACTGACTTAATGGCAGTGCAGGCATGTGCTTCATGATTCCTGTGGGAAATTCAAAAGTGCTAGCAAGTTACATAGCTAAATGTTTCTTTAAAGACAGTTTTAACTCTCAGCTAAAGTACACTAACAATGTGATGTAACATCAACCGTAATGCACCAGAATTCCTGTATCAGCTACAGCACAGTAGTGTTGCATTTTGTCTCCTATTCCAGTTGGCACAGTACAGTAGGTATACTAAAGCATACTCCAAAGACATTACATTACTGTGGATCCACTAATACACACTCCAGATAATACACTATTACTGGTGAGCAACAACTGATAGTGTACTCTGCATTCTGCAACTGATGCTGTGCTGTTTTAGCTAAAGTATTAGTGGGGCAACACATCTTATGGTCTAGTTAATTGCACTGCACTGCTACTGAACCACAGCTAATATGGTACTGTACTTGGGACTCAATTACTTTACACTTTCAAATCCAAACCAGTGACCCTCTACTTCCCAATGCAGCTAATTTACTTTTGATAGCTTGAATGGATTTCCAAACAAAAATCAGAGCTTGCAGGAATCACGAGTCAAGGGTTTTCACAAAATACCATGGAGTGTTCACATCATTAGTTTTCTTTAAATGTTGTGAAAACTAGAATCATATCAGCCTTGATTTGGTTGCAACATTTATTACAAGGCAGCTGTGACCATATTTCTAAAAGGAGTGATTATCCATAATTCCAAACAAGCCCTTGCTTGTCACAGATACCACCCATGATACCTGGTGGGTGAGACAGGCTGCAGAAAGCATCCGTGTGCACACATTCTATCCATTGACTCTACCTATGTTTCCTGCTGCCTTGGGGAAGCAACCAAATTAATCAAAGACCCCTCCTGCTGCAGCTGTACTCTCTTATACCCTCTTCTGTCAGGTATGTGATATAAAAGTTTGCATACACGTACGAATAGATTCAAGAACAGCTCCGTTCCCACTGTTGTTGGACTTCTGGATGGACCCCTCAAATTTTAAATTTAATGTTGATCTCACTCTCTGTGAACCTTCTCTGCGGCCATAACATTGTATTCTTCACCCTGTTCTATTACCCTAATGCACTTTGTATGGTATGATCTGCCTGTACTGCATGCAAAACAAAACTTCTCAGTACCTAAGTACGTGACAATAATAAATCAAACCAAAAATGACGCTGACACTACCATCTTGGCAAACCAGTAGGTTTCAACCAGCACTCATTTTGCTCACCTTGCTACAGTAAATCATAGATCTGATTTGAAGTATAAGCAGACCACCCAGAAAAATACAAAGTAAATGACTGTATTAACCTTCAAAATGTCCGCTGCTTCCCAAACACATCATGTTCCCCCTTGTGCTCGCATGCTCTTTGCTCTACCTAGAGATGGCGCTGCAGCCATTTCTAAATTAAGGAAGTAGCTGCGGGATGTTTTAAGGATGTGAAAGGTGCTGGAATGAATGTAGATTCTTTCTTCCTTTCACAATGGTCATGCTTTCAACCACTCTCACATTTCAGCTGTGAATCTGAGAGACTGCATGAACCAGCACCTGGTGATCACATCTCAAAATCTGCCTTTCTTATTCAAGGGAAAAACCTTGGACATCAACTTCTTGTGGAATAAAAAAAGTAGAAAATGCAGGAAAAATTTCAGATGGGGCAATATGTGGAGAGAGAAACAGAGTTCACATTTAAGTTGATAATCATTTGACAGAACTATTTCTTCTGCTAACAGGGTTGCCTGATCTGCTGTTTTTATGCTAGATTTGCAGAATCGCCTATATTTTACTTTTTTTTATCAGCTTTGTGTGTTCTTGAGGCTTTTTCCAGAAGAAGAAAATTAAATTTAGAGGTGAAAACACTAAATGCCAGTGTCATAGAATGCTTAGAAATGCATTTACTTATGTTGTTTGATTTCACAAAGATCACAGTATTACATATGCTATACAGCAACAAAACAGGACATCTGGCCCAAATAGGGTATGCCAGGATGCCGTGGTGAGTTTAGAAGTGATATTTCCAAACCACATCATTAAGGTTAACAGTGAAGGGTTAACTGAATTTGACAATGAAACATGACAACAAAAATACATAATAATAGGCCCGATGTGAAAAACAGCCTGTTTTGGCTCCATAACTTTGATTGTCTGCGGGAACCATTCTTTTATGCAGTTAACATGGAGCCACCTGGAGAGGTTTCCAACATGCTTTCTGTACAGTAGAATGCCTGGAAAAGTTCTAAAAGTACTACAAAATGGGGATACAGCACGTAACCAGAATGGTACCAATATCAGGGATTTTGTCCAACTTGTTGGGCATTTCCCATTAGACCAGGTTTGAGAGACTGGGTCTATGAATCTTCATCATTTGACTGGGTTCGGTAAACCAGTGCCACGGAATCTGAGGTCGAGCTCCAAATGCCTGCTGTCCAAAGTCCCTGGTGTGAGGACTCATGAGTTTGTGTACAAAGTAGGTTAAGTGAATAGATTTGCTCATTAATTTGTATATGTTAAGTAGATTAAGCTAATAAATTAGCTATATATTGAAGTGCACTTGTCTTCTTGTAATCATTTTGATCAGACCTTAAAGAACCCGTTAGGTACTTTCAGCCTAACAATACACAAGGTACCAATGGCATGAGCAGAAAGAGGAAAGAAATTCTGCAGAGAAAAGAGAGAGGGAGAGAGAGAAAAGAGAGAGAGAGAGAAAAGAGAGAGAGAATGAAGGGCCTTTTGAGCCTATTCAATCAATCAATGAGCTCATGGCTGATTTATATTATATATATTATTACCTGGCAAAATCATTTTTGATAGTTAACAAATTTAAAATTTCCAAGAGACCATTAGCACATCAACGGGTTTATCTAGACTGTTTCTTTTCAGTATTCCAATGACACTTGCGTCAGTTTTTTTTTAAATCCATTAATACTTTGGATAGCAAAAATCTACAGAACTATTTATTTAAAATTAACGATTGAGTTAGTGCCTACCTTTTTTTTGTACAAGACTGTTCTACATTTCTATCGCTCTTTGCATGAAAAGTTTTCCCAAAATTCTCTTTTCAATGGCCTGGTTCAGATTTTAAGGCTACGTGTCCTTTGCTCTAACCTCCCCACATAGGAAAATGTTGCCTACAAGTGGAACTTTATTGGACACCTTTTTGGGACTCCTATAAACCACTTCAATAGACATTCTCCTGTTTACTACTTTTGTCACTTCCTCAAAAAGTTCTATTAGGTTTATTAGCCATGATCTCATTTACACAGATAAGCAGTAATTAATTCTGATCAGTCCTATTCATCAAGTCATTCTGTTTTTTTTCCCCCAGAGGTTTCAATAACTTCCATCCAAAGATATCAAACGAACTGGCCTATAACATTTTAGCATTCTCTTACCTTTCTTAATTAATATAGTTATGCTCAAAATTTTGCAGCCAAAATGGACTACTCTGAATTCAAGAAAATTTTGGAGTATCCTGTGGCAGAAACCAGCAGGCTTTGAAAAATCTTCATTCCTTTAGTGTCAGGATTTCTAACATTGTTTTCTTCTCTGTTAACTTAATAGAGATTATTTTTATGCATCATTAGTTCTCCTGAAATGTGAGGTATATTATGTCCTCTTCCTCCTCAAGTCATTATTCCACTTCCTTGTTATAATATATGATTTTTTTAAATGACTCACTACACCCACAAGTATCCTTTCTCTTCTAATATAATCAGAAAGATTTTTCTGAATCCCTTATACTGAATGAAAAGCAGAAAGCACATAGTGAAGGATCTTTACCTCTCCAGTGGTTGGATGGGTTCCGAATTTCTTTATCCATGGAATTATACTCCTGTAAAAAGAAACAAAATTTTGGAAAACACAGATACACAGAAGATAAGCCACTTTGAACTTTATGAACTATTTAACTAGTGCATTGAATTACCGTTGGATTTCACTGCTCGATTAACATATCTGGCTCTAATTCAGGCAACTGATAATTAGTTCCTGTCCAAAACACATTTGAATGTAATAAGTACAAAATGATTTGTTTTTAAGAATCCCATTTCAGAACAAAATTAAGCTGCTTCTGGGAAAAACGCAAACAAAATCAAAATATTTTCTAAGAATGTACAACTATTCAAGATTGGATGCTTTTGAAGGTACAGTAAGTCTATCCTCTGACAATGGTTTGAATTTGATATCTATTGCTTTCATCACCAAACCCCTCAGTCCCTCCTCCATTCAGAAGGGAACATATACTCTGAGCACGCAATGTCAATAAACCACAAGTCTTTTAATAAAGACATAAGATATTGAAAAGAGGTAGCAGTTCTGTCAGGCTCAGAAAAGTGTCTGAGGTAGCGTCAGCAACCCAAAAACTTAACTTGGCTTTTCTCCCTTTCAATTCTATCTAGATATCCCAAGAGATTAATTTTATCTACTTTTTAAAATTTCAGTTTTCTGACATTTGCAGTAACAAGTCGATTGAACTTTCTTCACAAATCAACAAACGTGAGCCTTTCCTTGCTCTTTTTATTTTTGAACTCATATCGTCTGATGATTAAACCTTCACAAAGGGGAGCAATTTGGCTGGATAGCGTTTTTGCATCCTTTTGCGGATATGGGTAGCATGTGGGTCATGTTACAAGACTGGAAATCCAGAGACCCAGACTATTAATTCAGAAAGACAATTTCAAAACACATAATAAATTCAATTAACACATCAGGAATGATAAACAAGTCTCAGTAACAGTGACCATGTAACTACTGGATGGTCATAAAAAAACCAATTGTTTCACAAATATCAACGAGGGAAGGAAGTCTGCCAACCGTACCCAATTTGGCTTATGTGTGCAATGCTTATGACTCATAAGTGCCCTCTGATATGGTACAGCAAGCCATTCAGTTTAATCAAAAGCCATTGCAGAAAAATCAAACAAGAACAAAATCACATCTACAGTATGTGTACAGTTTTGGTCTCCTTATCTTAGGAAGGCTTTACTTGCCACAGAGGGAGTGCATAGAGGTTCACCAGATTAATCTCTAGCAGGGCTGAATTCTCTTATGAGGACAGAATGAGTATTCCCTACAGTTTGAAGAATGGGAGGTGACCTAATTGAAACTACTAAAATGCCTACAGGGTGTGACTGCGTAGATGTAAATAGGATGTTCCTCCTGACTGGTGACTCCAGAGCCGGGGACATAGCACCAGGGAAAAGGTTGGCCATTTAAGACTGAGATGAGGAGGAATTTCTTCACTCGGAGGATGGTGGATCTTTGGAATTCTCTACTCTCAAGGGCTGTGCTAGCTCATTCACTGAGCATCTTTAAAACAAAAATCAACAGGTTTCTGGAAACAAACAATAAGGGATATGGCAATAGTGCGGGGAAGTGGCGTTGAGGTAGAAGCTGACCCATGATCTAACTGAAAGTCACTAGTTGAATGACTTCCTCCTATTACTACGTTCTTAAAAGCAGACACAGCATCCAGCATTGAAAGTGACACTGCCCAAATGAGCCCACATGGTCCTTCTCACTTATACTTGGTGACTAGTGCCAAAACTGGAATAGCTATGTAATAGGCAGGTCAAGCAATAGCCTGACTGTCACACTCAAGAATTCATACCTTACTGAAGCCTCTCTAAGGGTCTGTGCATGGCAATCAGCATGCTGGCACTGATCTTCCAATTCTGAAGTCACTGTCACATATGGACCTTGGAGGTCTATGGGTCCAAAAAAATTTACAAGGCATGCTGCTTACAGTCAATGTGCTAGGTTGCTCCATTACTATCCCCTGCACTATATTCTATCCCTCCATCAGGCACACTAGTAGCACAGAATTACAACAATTAGGAAGGGAATGGCTCTGAAGTACTCAATATTGGCTCTAGACTTGAAGTTTCATAGCAGGAGATCAAACTTGGACAAGGCCGCATGCTGCTGATTGCCACCCTCAGATAATGAATCAGTGCTCCATGTAAAAACATCATTTGAAAGGAGGATGACATAGAATATACCGATTTCAATGTCCATCAACAGAGTGACTCAGTAGTACTATTACTGGTCAAGGGGGACAGACCAGAAGGACATATTTGCCAAACATGGTGAAAAATAGTGAAAGAAACAATAAGGGGGAAAAGGTTTTCACAAAAATTTGTAGCTCGGGTTGTGGGTGACGTTGTTGACTTGCTTGCCGAGCTGACTTGTTTTCGTTTAGACATTTCGTCACCATGCTAGGTTCCGTCATCAGTGAGGCCTCTGATAAAGCGATGTTGTTCTACTCTGCTTGGAACTTATATTGTCTAGTCCATTCTGGTGAGTAGTGTCATTTCCAGTTTTAGAGATAGTAGGAACTGCAGATGCTGGAGAATCTGAGATAGCAAGGTGTAGAGCTGGATGAACACAGCAGGCCAAGCAGCATCAGAGGAGCAGGAAGGCTGACGTTTCGGGCCCAGACCCTTCTTCAGAAATCT